CTGACCAATCACAGACTTATATGCTCCTTTGAGGATTACAAATCAATGACACCAAATTTTAAAGCCAATACAATATATTGTTATGTCAAACTGTAAAGGGAATCGTTTGATGCACATAATCTTCTGTCTCATCCACAATATATTCGACAGAACCCACAATTTTGCTATGCAATGTTCCATGTTATCACACTTAAAATAATACAACAGACCAGTAGCACAATAAAAATACATACACTTCTATATCTATTTACATCTAGTAAATGTTTCTTCCCTCTTTCATGTATCTTACCCTCATCCCCCATTTATTCCCTCTTTCATGTACCTTACCCTCATCCCCTGTTCCTTCCCTCTTTCATGTACCTTACTCCCATCCCCTGTTTCTTCCCCTCTTTCATGTACCTTACCCTCATCCCCTGTTCCTTCCCTCTTTCATGTACCTTACTCCCATCCCCTGTTTCTTCCCTCTTTCATGTACCTTACCCTCATCTCTTCTCTCTTTTATGTACCTTACCCTCATCCCCGGTGTCTTCCCTCTTTCATGTACCTTACCCTCATCCCCCGTTTATTCCCTCTTTCATGTACCTTACCCTAATCCCCTGTTTCTTCCCTCTTTCATGCACCTTACCCTCATCTTCTGTTTCTTCCATCTTTCATGTACCTTACCCTCATCCTCTCTCTTTCATGTACCTTACCCTCATCCCCTTGGTTGCTTTCCTCTCAGAAGACAAGTTAACAGACATTCATTTTTTGGATGTATCATGGGCAGGACAGTTCTGACTTACCTCTAGCATAGATAGAACTGAAAACATGGTCTGTAGTTATCTCCCCTTTATCACTGGTTACCTGTCAATATACAGAACAAGTGTTACAGATGAATTTATGATGCATGATTAGGAAGCTTTAGTCATGTACCACACCATTCTGATTCAACAATGTACGGTTGACTTACACCACCTCTCAACTTTTTACTGGAAGGGGTGGACAAAATCTTCTCAGAGATGGAATTGGCCAAACACCATTTCTTCCAACAAAATTGTTTTACTATACATTTAACCCTTGCCCTCTATATCTGAGTTTACATCATTCATTTGAATGGCAGGATGCAGCTTCCTGATTCACGTAAATGTACATATTTTAGCTAAATTTTGCTATTACAACATTTTGAATATTTCAAGATGTTAGTCATCAAAGCCATTTTGGACCAAAGTAAAAATTGATAACATCTGTTTACAATCAACTCAAGTTATTCCAGGCAAGTTTTAACTAAATCCTACAAGTGGAAATTTTTAAGCACAGCAAACAGCAAAGAGGGTCCTTAACAAACCTGATCTGTAAAACATCATTAAGTATTAAAATATCATTAAGTATTAATACACCATTAAGTATTAAAATGTCATTAAGTAAACAACAACAGATGAAACATGAAAGCTAATATTAAGGTGGCTTGATAAGATGAAAACATACCACTGCTGCACCATCTTTGAATGTCAGTTTTGTACATTTATTATTAAGCTGTAATTCAGCTGACATCTGTGGACTGGTCAGGTGTTTGACCAAAGTATCAGGCAGTTGCTGACAACCTTCTTTCAATGACCACATAGTCCAGTTAGTGATGTAATGCAAGATGGGTTTTGACATGGATACCATTGGACCTGTAATAGAAGGGTGAACCTAGAAATCCATACTTTAATATATATCTTTATTACATGAATAACATTTTATTCCATAAATATTCCAAAGTAACATTCTTAGGTTTTACTGTAAAATAATGTATTTTCATGGAACTCAATTTTCGTGGTTTTTTTTAAAACATCTATTCATTGACACTTCATTTCATGGATAAATATAGCTTAAACAATTGCTAGCATTAATTCAAACAGTTCATAGACATATGAATTTGTGAATTAAGAATACCCAAGAAATCAACAAAAATAAATCACCACAAAAATTAATGATCAGACAGTACTTCCTTTATGATAAGCTAATGTGAGGTAAAGATTTCATCTTTATATAAATCAATAAACACATGAATCTAGATGATATTGTGATGTCACAATAAACTACAGACATATAAGTCAAGAAAATTTCAATGAAACATGGAAAAGTAAGCTTTCTACAATTGTAACTAAATAATTAATGTACAATAAAAACTATCTTAAATTTGTTTCTTTTCATTAAATAACGTTTGATTTTAGCTCCTAAAGGCTCGCTAAAATTAATCAAAGGGCTAAAAGCACTAAGAAATGTAAGAGTTGTGAAATTAATTTGAATCCAGTAACCAGACATTTTCAGTGCACCCTGATTAATTTTCTTTCAACTATAGTTATTTTTTCTGGAAAATAATTACCAGTGTCTTTAAGTTTCAATTGCAAAACGTGAAGATAAATTATTTTGTGTCATAATATGTCTGTATGCAAATGCAAAAAAACGATATGTCACTGAAGAACAGTATATACTGAGTCTTATGGATATCAATACAGTGTGAATCACTCTAATGTATTGTTGACTTTTTCCTATTGGTCTGGAGTTGATAAACAATAAGTACATCAACCCTATATGAATTCAAAAATGACAATTCATTCCACATTATGCTGTAAAATTCATCCTAGGTGTCGGTCACTTTTAATATTTCTCTTATTTCTTTTGAGTCCTTTTTCATTGTACAGATGATTTAAGATGTTAATGATAAACATCTTATGTACTTAAATGATTGGTAACTTTTGACTTATTGAAAGCTGCCTTCATATTAGAATTTGTTTTTATAGTTAACATGTTTTCTGACAGTATCATTAAGTAACAACAGAAATGACATCCTTGACTATAATTTGATATTCTTGACTATCCATTTACGATTTGAAATTTTCACCAAGATATCATTTTTCTTTGATTCAATACACTTAAATTTTGATCTCTACATTTGAAAATACACTGATAAAAATGTACTTGTTTTTGCCAAGAAGAGCAAAAAAGTAACTGAGAATTTTGAAAGATTTCATAATGAAGAATTTTACCAAAAATTGAGAAATGTTGAATATGATTATATTTTATATTATTTGAAGCATGACTTAAAAGAGCTTAAAACTTTAAACTATGACATTACCATTAAAAGTCTGTATTTTGAAGCAAAAAAGTTCTTCAGTAAAGTAAAGATCATGCCTATACTGAACAAACCACCTGCTTTTATGGGGACAAGGTAGGATTGAAAATGTTCAGACAGTTAAAACAACATCGTTTTCTGACCAATAGTATGCGTTCAGCCCAAGCCGGGTGGCATCAGTTTCCTCATGCTCAACGTGTTAACTGTCATTAACTGTTAATTATACAATCAGCCAAGCCTTTCATGCTTGTTAGGTCACCTGGGTAAATTTGTTTACTTAAGGTAATTACATGTGTTAGGGTCACACTCATTGTGGTTTCCTAATTATCAATGGATCAGACCACATCAAATGTTTCGTCGCAGTGACCAGTCAATTAATTTTTCTGTAGATTTTTTTTTTAAAATCTGATCTCCAAAAAGTACCTGCGCACTATACGCGAGTGCGCACTATACACGAATATTTACGGTATTACCTCTCGCCAAAATAGTCCTTCCTTTCTGCTGCTCCAAATTATAAAGCTGAGATAATGTAGACCTGACACTGAGTTTCTTGGAGTCTCCTGCGTATATTCCCCTCACCATAGCATCACCCATGATATCAGCTATCTATAAATATACAAGATTGAATGAGGTGTCTTCAAAACAATAATAGGCCATTTGGCAATTTTGTTCATTTCAAAGCTATTTTCATTCATCCAGCATACCCTTGTCATCAATATTGAATGATTTCATAGTGATGTCATATGTCACACCGGTAAAAAATGTCTTGGGCTGACATTCGAATATATCTAATTCTTAGCTTCACCTCAAATTCTTTTTTTTTATAAAAGGCAAGTCTTTGTCAGAGAAGAAATGGCAATACATACAGATCCTACACGGGGAAAAGCACATCATGATCAGACTTGCCAAAGGTATCATCTAAGCCTTGTGAAGGTTAAAGGTCAAAATGAAGGTAATAAATTACTACTTCTGATATGTAACAAACTGTTTCCCTAAGATGTACCCCCACCCCCCACACCCACATCATACACAATATAGTACAGAACACATGTATTTTGATAACCTTATACAACATAGCATAAGGCATGAAAAGCAATCAGATTAAAGATTTTCACAATACAGGTCAAGGGTGAAAATATAGGTTACACTGGTGAATCTAATGCCACCATCAAGATTTACTTGTCAACACAAATTTTGAAGTGCAAACTTCAGAATAAAGACAGTAGAAAAAAACCTTTACATAAAGCATGAATCAATATTGATGATTAAGAGAAATAAATACAGGGGACGTAAAACAAAAGTACAATCATACACAAATCGGCATCATGAATACTTAATTACAAATAATAGCATAACATACATCTTTTGTGGCAATGTCTATTTACCTCTTTCCCGTAACGTCTTGTACAAAATGAATGCACACTTTCATCTTCAGTCGCTTTTGCAGCAAAAGTGTCTTGATAAGCAGTCCATATCAACCTTCTCTTTAATGGTGGAACAACACGAATGGCATCAAGTATGGCTAGAAACAAAGATAACATACTTTTCAAAATAATTCCACTCTCAACATCAATTATTTCAACCATACTTTATTCATTCCGTCTTACAAACCATTTGTAATGAAAAAAAAACTTTGCTTTTCATTAAAGTTGAATTTTAACATAGGAAATGTAATCAACTTACTTCCAGGCATTTGATGGACTTTCTTATCCTTGTAGACATACCGGACATTGCTTGGATCACGTTTGTCTACTGCAATAATATCATCACGAAGGCCAAGCTTCAGAGCCTAAGAAAGACAAAAGATATCACCACTGAAGGGAATCTGTTACTTTTTTATCATTAATCTTTAACTTTAATATTTTTCTTTCATCCTAATATGACACTGGCTTTTTACAAGGATAAAGAAAAAAATGTAAAACCAAATATCTATCTCAGTAGACAAGTCTACATTATCAAAGTATTAATAATGCTTTCCAAATGCATGATTTCAGCTGACTGTATACAGAATAACATGACCTTGGTGTGCTGACTTTGTATACAGAATAACATGACCTTGGTGTGCTGACCTTGTATACAGAATACCATGACCTTGGTGTGCTGACCTTGTATACAGAATACCATGACCTTGATGTGCTGACTTTGAATTATGACACTTTACATATAATAAAGATTCAACTTACAAGCTCCACAGTGTTCAATCCAGAACCAACATAAGTTGGACGAAAACTCCGTGGACCATAATCAAACACAGCCCCATCTTCAAATTTAGTAGAATGTAACCAACCACCAAATCTGTTAGAAGCCTCAAGCAATACCACCTACAAATGAAAAGAAAATAAGGTCTACATTCTTTAAGAATTTGTTTAACATGTTTCAAATAGAATTTATGTTTTATTTATCAATAATATTATAAGATAGTCTGTTATTGGTGTGTTGTAATAACATTTAGTTAGAAATTTAAGAGCATGTAAGACCATATTTCATTCTCATCCAGGTGAAAGGTTCCAGGACATATATCCATCCAAGAAAAAATCTTCCAGAATCGAAGGGCATGGAGCATTCAGCAGTGCAAGTAGTATAGATGCTCTGCACTTTAACTGTTATTATAATGTTACACAAAATTACTATGACAGTATTTTTGCTATCTTGAATTTGAAATGAACTTGAGATAAATTAAAATTTCCTTATTGCTCCAAGTACTCTGAATATAACATCAGCCAATATCATGATGTCACAACATATGGACACCAAATGTCACAATAATTGTTTGATCGATCACTCTCTGAAGCACACCAAATTTTCTTCATTTCTTGAAGCACTCACCAGTTAACTTAAATTTACTGGTGTTTTATTTTCTTGATTTTCATGTTCATATTGTCATTGTGACATGTAAACTTTTCTCTTTCTGAGCACTGCCTTGGTCATATTATCACTTCTTCAGCAATCTTGTCATAATTCGGGAATATACACCTTATTTATTTATATTCATTGTTTAATTGCCCCTGCAATGATGCTGCTTATTCTGTAAGCATTTTTAAAGAACTGTTTTAATAATTCTCAAATTACGTGCTCTCGTGGTTGTTTCCATGGGAAAGACACTTCTTAGGATGACATGTCACGGGTCTGTCGTGCTCTCGTGGTTGTGTCCATGGGAAAGACACTGCTTAGGATGACATGTCACGGGTCTGTCGTGCTCTCGTGGTTGTGTCCATGGGAAAGACACTGCTTAGGATGACATGTCACGGGTCTGTCGTGCTCTCGTGGTTGTTTCCATGGGAAAGACACTTCTTAGGATGACATGTCACGGGTCTGTCGTGCTCTCGTGGTTGTGTCCATGGGAAAGACACTTTGCTTAGGATGACATGTCACGGGTCTGTTGTATGTTGTTCAGTGAAGCAGTACATGAAGAACAGTTTCTAAGTACCCAACATGTTAGGTATAAAACTGATAAACTCGGCGTAAACAAATGAACACCTGATGACTGTGATGACCTTTTCATCCGGCTTATAGAACCGTTCAGTAATGTTATTACCTTGGCAAATTTTGAAGAAGTCCCTTCTTGTAATGCATAATAGGCAGATGATAATCCGCTAATTCCTCCTCCCAACACCACAGCCTTTGCCATAGTTTCAACCAAATCTTCTGTTTCGCCGGCCTATCTCTTACATCACACTTTCATCGTGGTTATCCATGAACGTAAACATACCAGATTTTAACCTTCGGCCCAGGAGAGTTCTGAACAGATTATCATTGTATGAAGGTGTTCAACGCTCAGTTGGGACACAAAATCAAAAACTTATCTATTCATTTGATTTTTTTTTAGGGGAGTGTTATTGAATGTTTATTTCATATAACTATTGTGTATTAAAGCGTTTAGATAAAAAATTATTATAGCAAAATACACATTTCTAATTGTACAGCCGTTCTATCATTTATTTCATAAAAACCGCTTCATTCCGACCACTCGAACAAGAGCCTCTTACATAATCTTTATAATCCTTTTCTATTTTTAAGTGATGATTGTTTTAAAGAAGATATTTTTGATTTTGCTCTAAGATAAATGAGGAAAGACAGATCATCTGTGTTTGTGAATGTCCAAAAGGATGCTATCTGTCGCTTTCAAATTCTGTGCCGCATTAGAAATATTAGTCTACCAGTTGATTTACAACTGAAATTATTTGATACTTTGAAATCTCCTATGTATAACTGTACTCTTCCGAAGTTTGGGGATTTGAAAACTGTACTATTGTTGAAAAAAATCCACTTACAGTTCTGTAGGAAAAAATTCTTAACCCGAGGAAAAGTACTCCTAATTTCATTGTTAATGGCGAGACTGGACGTTTTCCTTTAGGAATGAAATTCCGAATGGTGCTTTTCTGGCAAAAACTGAAAACATAAAATTACAATTAACTGTCTGCTTATGTGTATAAGTTAATGTTTCAGTTACACGACAGGGGGGAAGTGACTTTTAATTGGACCAGTTATGTCAAACAAATAATTAACGATACTGGTATAAATTATATTTGGACCTGTCATAAATAATAACAGCGATGAATAAAAACTGCTTGAAGCACATAGTACAACAGAGACTTCAAGAGCATTTTCTGCAAAAATGGTGTGATGATATTGAAAATAGCAGCCTTGGTCAACTGTACTATATCTTTAAAGTTAATTTTGGAATTGAAAAGTAACTTTTAAAAATCAACCATAAAAACAGAAATATTATGTGTAAACTTCACTCATCCAATCTTCATTTACCAGTAGAAACAGGTAGATGGACAGGAATTCCACGAGATTGCAATTTATGTACTGAGGAAGTAGGTGAGGAATGTTATTGTCTATTTAAATGTAACATTCCAAGTGTTTGTCCATTACGACGTAAATTCATTCCAGAATACTACTTTAACCATCCAACTTTGCTCAAAATGAAGATTATGTTTACCTTATAGAATGTTAAATTGCTCAACAATGTAATGCCATCATGTAATTTATATATATAATGTGACTGTATTGTTACTATCAATGTGTATTTAGTTTCAATTATTGATGAGACAATCTGTATTGCAGTTTCTTTAATGATATAAACACGACTTACAATATAAAAAGCTAAATACACACCTTTCACTCACTGCGATACAAGACCGGCGATTTCCCCGTAGTAGATATGTCTGGACCATGAAATTCAAAATAGATACAAACGTCAGTGTATGGGAGCACCACCACCGGATATTGGTACTAAGCGAGGCGAGTGGGTTTGCCGCACATCCAGAAACACGGTAAGATTTTCCAGATTTAACTGTATTTATAAATATTATACATAATTCACATTCTATGTATCGTTTCCTAACGTGTATTGTCGTCAATCGTTATGTAATTTGGAAGACCCAGTGACCAGTATTTTTTTTTTTTTTTTTTGAGGAGGGGGGGGGGATGAACTATCCGGCTTAGTACCGGGAAAAATGAGGATGGTTAACTCTTTAGATTTGAATAAATCATCCTCAAATTAACTTAAATTCAACAGTCATCACTCAAAATGTTTATATTGTCACTCAAAGTTACCATACGTATGCATTGGTTTCGTTTTTCTGATGTCTTTAAATCCAAAACCAGCACTTGAAAATCGTTAGATGTGTACGGTTGCTTATGACTTTGCCGAAAATTGGTCTACGGCGTCTTGAAAACTGGTGTGCGGCTGCTTGTGATAACAACAAGAACATGTGGCTATATTATAAGCAAATGCTGTGCCTATCCTACCAAATAAATGCAAGCGTACGCTCAGAAGCGATAACCAAGTAAATTACCATGTTCAGTCAGACGGATGATCATAATTATGTCGTAGGAGGAATTATGAAGGGTGCCACATGTGTTTCGTCAAATGGTAAACACGTCCCAAATGTGCCTTTGATTTGTTTCCTGCAGTCGTGGATACGTTGGAAATAATTTGTGGGTGCGTTTTCTGATCTTTATAATAATAGCACCTTACACTTTAATTGTGTTATATTGAATTAATTGATTCCTATAATTCTGAAGCTTGCTTTTATATCCGATCTAATTCATTACCCGTTGATTTATTTCAGATTTAATATGGATGTCTTAGATATAGACACATCTTTGGACATTTTGGCTGAAATTGAAATTGAGACGACAGACAACACACGTGGGCATGATATAAAAAGTTGTCCCGAGGAAAACTGTGAATATAGCACAAACAATAAAAGTAACCTAAATAAGCACGTGCGACGGATGCATAGACCACTTAATACAAGTACCCCAAATAAAAGCAGCTGTATCCACTTGTGCGCAACCTGCGGGAAAACATTCAAGAGCAAATTTGGCCTCCATTTGTATATAAAGAATAAGCATACCAAATAATTCAAATATACATGTCAAACGTGCGGAAAAAGCTACAATCAGCGAGTACAATTCCGTTTCCACGTATCAGCTCACTCCTCAGTCGGTCTAGATTCCTGCACATTTTGCAAGACGGAATTCAACTCCAGCGGGTCACTGTTATACATTTGAAGATGTGTCAAGATAAACCACAGCCATTCGTTTGCGATGTTTGCCAGGCGACTTTCTCTCGGAAGTACAAACGTGACGAGCAAGCAAGAGGAAAACACGGAGACAAACGATACAGATGTGAAAAGTGTGGAAAGCAGTATGGGTGGCGATCATCACTGAAAGTACATGGCAGACATTGTACGCACACCGAGTAGAAGTTTCTGATATTACTCAGTATATACGTTGAACCCGCCCATTTGCAGTATGATATCATGTAATTTGTTTTTGTTGACTTTGAACATCTCTTTTTATTTCATAAAATACAAAACCTGTATTAAAGATGTTTATTCAACAAATACCACAAGGGTATTTGTGGAGAAAATTCATTACCTCATTTCTTATAACATACATGTACATTTTGGTAAAATTTACGGTTCAAGCATTTTTCACTTCTGCATGTTTTGATGTAAATTTCAACCAGGTGTAGGATTTGAATAATACCTGCATGAAAAATATCCATAATTCAAGTTGTTGTGAAATCGGTAGGAATTTCCTATAATCATGTTGGTTGTGACAAGATAGTAATTTTGATAGTTCGTTTTTGTCTCAAACACAGGAAAAATCTGGGAAATGTTCTTTTTGGACATAAAATCTTTTACATAGTAGATTATATTAGATTGTGTTACACATGCTTTATTTTTAGAAATGTTGATTTGTTGACACAAATGGAAATATCAGGTATTTTCCTATGTACTTTCTTTTACTACTTTTTTTTAGTTTACATTTTACATCCAGTATGTTACAGGTATAACATATATGTATGTTTTGTTGATTAAATACTTTAACAACAAGCATTTGTTGTTGTTTATCAATGTAGTAACATCAGAGCAAATATACAACTAGCTGTTCACCATTGCATACTGGCTATTTCTCCAATGGTGGCGCATTTGTCCGTCAGCTTATGCAGGAACATATCTTTTTTAACCATAAGCTGTCCGAGGTCACGAATCCTTGCACTAAGTATCTGAACAGACTTAAGGCGCCCTTCATATATAAACTTTCTGTGTTGTCACATTCTGATGTATCTATGTGCCCATATCGACATAGTCGTTCCAGTCTACATCGCATATCCTCAAAGAAAGCCTGTCGATAAACGAATGTTCTTTTCTTCGTACGTGGGAGAATCCTTGTAACCCCAAAGTTGAACTGGTCCATTTGAACTTTAGAATATGGGCTATCTTTTGGAACAACATTTATTTTGGACAAATGTATTTTATCTTCACAGGATATTGTTAATTTCCGTCCTTGTTGCCGACATATCTCTGGTATAACTTTAAATGAGTATACCTTGGATACAAGTCCTTCTTGTCGAGTGTATTTTAGTTGACTCTCGCTGTGCTCCTCTGTTAAGTGGGAAATGATTTCCTCAAAAGCATTAAATGTCTTGGTACAGTAGAAGCAGCTCCACCGAGCATGGTGATGGTATCTGAAAGTAAAACAAATATAATCTAGGTTAGGCTATGTTGACTACGTTAGTAAACATTACATTAAGTAATATGATTATATACTTGTGCTGTTGGATATCACTAAGCTTAACTACAATGATATACTTGCATAAAATGGTTATTTTCACTGATTATTAACGATGAAACAAAATAGTTCTACATCAAGCAGCTGTACACCACTTATCCATAAAATATCAAGCAGCCGTACATGTCTACCACAAGTCGCCGTACATGTCTACCACAAGTCGCCGTACATGTCTACCACAAGTCGCCGTACACGATCAAATATAATCCAATTTTGATTTGAAAATAATCGGCGATTGGAGACAAAAATGGTATATATGTATGTTTACTCGGGGATATGATATACATATATTAAGTGATGACTGTTGAATTTGAATCCTTTTACTATGATTTATATGAACTTCGTGTTGGAAGGCCCTTATTTTTCCGGTACTAGCTGGATGATTTTATCACACAAGATAATAATTGAACACTGGATCATTATAAACACATGTTCGATTGAAGGCAAAATATGTCAGAAAGCAATACAGAGGCTGTGAATGATCTTTATAAATACAGATAAATCAGGGAAAGCTTACCGTGTATCTTGCATCATGCTTAACTTCTACGCCTCGCGTTGTACCAATATCCGGTGGTGCTCCCACACAGTGAA